ATTTTTATCAATGATAATAGTTCTTCGGTTAGTTTCAGTCAAAATATTTGGAAAATAATTGCGTAAATGAATTGAAAAAGTCCATGTAGAACAGTACTCGAAGTCATAAAATTTAGTACTTAGTAAATAAAAGAGTTTTAATGATTTTTATCACTACATTTTTTTAATAATAATGAAAAAAAATATTATTATATTAAGTTTTTTGTAATCAAATAATTAAATTCGAAAAATAATAACATTTTTTTTCCTAAAAATAACTGAAAATAATTTGAAGCATGAAAAAAATGTAAAACCCCTTTAATATCTATGCAAAACAAACGTTATACTATGAACTCGGTGGTTGACGAATCATCGACATTTTTTACGAAAAAAGTCATTACAAATTAAAAAAAAAAAACTAAAAATCCACTCTCTTGTTATGGGTATGAGGTATTTTTCCATGAACTACATTGCACTTAAATGAATGCTTTTAGCAGAAGTGAAAAGTAAAGTTAAAATATCAATCTGTGGCTTTGTAGATAAAATATTTTAATTTCCGAAGTGTATTTAAAAACTACTATTTAGTTTCCTAGAATTATAACTGATTTTACTTTAGTGTTATTATTAAGAACATATTGTATAAGAATTATGACAAAAAAGTATTTGCATCGTATTCAAAAATAATTTTATATACAAATTATTTGTATTCAGCAAAAGGTTTACTAGTTTATCTTTAATCAAATTATTTAGCAATTTAATTATGAAAATATTGAAAAACCTATAATTAATTTTTAATTACAAGTGCCTTTTAATATTTACAGTATTTAATTTGTTACTCGTCATTTTATTTGAATAAAAATTAAGTAATTCTACTGAAAACAAAATTTTATGGATAAATACTGATCTTAATTAATAATTGGTAGAGAAATAATAATTAATATTGATATATTTTTACAATATTTAATAATTTTACAACTATACAGAAATATTTATAAATTATTAATCTAACAATATTAATTATTTATTTATTATAGAATTTTTAATAAATCTACTTGTTTCAATCTAATGATATTTACAATTTCATTAATTAACATTATTGGTGTTCAATCCAGATAATAGGTTTTTTAATGAGAAAAATCTTACACCTAATTCTTAGTGTTTAAAGATTGTGTTATTACTATTCTTCTAGCTTACACGAATGTTTAACAATGAAAAATAAACACAGAAGAATTCACATTTTTACAAGTTATAAAGACTCGAAAAATTTAACCACATAACACTAAGAAGAGATGTTTTTCTGGAATTATTTCTTATAATATCTACATAAAACGAATATCTTGATTTTTTTAAAACATTTTTGGAAATTTTATTAAATTGGATTTTCGAGTGAGTTATGCAATCAAACGCTTTGTTGATATAAAAATATTATTGACTTTTTAGTTTCAATTAGAAGCTGAGATAATATTATATTTACCATGGTGTGTGTTTTTTATGGGTTTGACCATAAAACTTCTAAGCTTTCATTAGACCGATTTTCCTGCTCAATCAAACGTCAAAAGAATTTATATTGATCTAATTGAAGATATCACTTTCAAAAATTGAAAAAAAACCTCAATTTTTAATTATGTAAAGTAATATCTTGAAATTCGACAGCTGTCAAATATAACAAAAATTAGAAATTGTTTCTGTATTATTTTAAAATTGCAATGATGTAAAAATAAATTTGTTCTTATTATTTTTCTTTTATGATAAAAAGCATAATAATGCTTTATTTACAATTTTTGATAATGTTTTAAATAGCCTGACTTTTTTAAACTTACAAAAAAATACGAAACTATACAGAGTGGAACAGATCTAACTGGCGACTCATATAAATTATGATATACATAACATTTTATACTTTTTTTTTGTCAATTTCTACAATATAGGACTATATTTAAAGTATGTTTATATTATTTTTCGGATTACAAAAAATATTTTAAAAATTAATTTTTTTAAGATTTGAAGATAGTCTTTTTATATATAAGTTTATATAATATTGTACCAAAAACTGTTATTTTAATTCACTAGTTACGATTATACAGCGTTTTGAAGTTTGTTAAACTTTGATTTTTTTAATGATTTTCCTATGGTGTCATATGTAGTCTATATTATGTAAAGGACGAAAGTAAACATTATCTTTTTACGTTATATACTGGTTACAGTACGTGATTTATTTTCCATGAAAATTATTAACACTTAAATAAGCATCTGTAATTCACATGAAAAAAAGTAGTAGTAAAATTAAGTTTATTAAAAAAAGTTACAAAAACGTTATCTAGTAGTAATAGTAATATTGAACATTATAGAAAAGTAGTGCATTTATTATGAAATCTTTAACACAGAATATTCTATAAGAATTAGATATCAATAAAAAAATAGAATCATGCAAATTAATAGCTGTTGACACTTTTTACTTGGAAAATTTTCATGGAAAGATGGAACTAGAAAGGAAAAAAAGAACTAGTACATACATTTTTATTAACAATATAAAAATAAAAATATTGTGAACAAATAAATAGAATAACATTATTAAAAGAACCCAGCACAGTGGGGTCGTGGCATAGTTGAGTCAAGTATAATGATATCTGACAGTGATTAAAATCACTATCATAAAAAACGCTTCGATGCAAATTTGTCGATAATGTTTAATTTAAAAAAAAAAAAGATTATTACAAAAGCTACATGATCTCCTATTTCCTTATTTATATTCTGATTACAAGTTTTATGATTTATAAGCGTATATATGAATTAATATAAAAATATTAATAATTTATAAATATAGAAAGGGAAATGGTTTTATTTAAAAATGTATGTCATATGAAAGAGGTATATAAATAGTATTTATCATAATAAAATTTTATTGATCCATGTATTTTTCAAAAATGAATATCATTATAAAATTAAAAATGTAAAAAAGAATTTTTTTTTACAAAAATATTATTTTTTTATTAACTTTGATGTTAGTTTTCATCATGAAAACAAACTAAAATCGGAAATTGTTCTCTTTTATATTAAAGTATATTACATAAACTTTAATTTATTATATATATATATATATATATATATATATATATAAGTATCAGTATTTCCGGAACACTTTCAAAAGTTAAGTTGAAAAAGTTAAATTTTTGTGAAAAAGTTGTCATTATAAATCCCCCCTTGTGGGCAGGTAAAGAGTCAGATTTATAAATATAATATAACAAATGATATATTTTGTTCTACTTCGATTGCCATTTGCGCATAGAAAATAAGTCGTCGGTACAATTTTTTTTTTTAAACTTCTAGTACATAAACTAATCTTTGTTTTAATATATATTTAAATGACGCATTATTCCCGGAACATTTTCAAAAGTTAAGTTTGAAAAGTTCTATTTTTTATTAAGTTCTACTTAATAAGTATAAATTTATATTTAATGTAAGTTAGATTTATGTAAATTTTATATTTATTGGCGGATTCCAAATGGCAAACCCTTATAAGGTATTTTAAAATAAACAAAAAAAATTAAATTTTAACACTAAATAGAATTTTTTAAACTACGGCAGCCGTTTTGTACATAGAAAATAAGTTATTGGAGAAATTTTTTTATTTTAATTTAAAGTACGTAATATAAGCTTTAATTTGTCATATGATTAAAGGACGCAGTATTTTTGGAACATTTTAAAATTTAAGTTGGAAAAGTTGCTCTTTTAAATCCTCTCTTGTGGGCGGTAAGGATCAGATTTTCAAAAATATTATTTCAAATAAAAGCAAATTATTTAAGGTTTCAGCATAAAAAAAATTATTATTATTTGTTCATTTTCAATAGGTTATGACAATTTTTAGAAAAACAGTGAAATAAATGTCAAATATACTTATTTTTAAAATTGTAATTTTTTGGCAGGATTTCTACTATTTATGGGGAACAAGGGAAAATTTTCAATTATTGTAGGTAATGTCTTCAACTATGTACAATTTGTAATCTTTTGCCGCATCGTTGAGAAAAATCAGTCTTATGAGAGCTGAAAAAATGTAGCGACTGACACAAAATAATAAACACATTATAGTAAAATGAATACCTTTTCAGCTTCGCATCGAAGCCAATAAATTTTTATTATGCACATTTTAAAAAAAAATTTGAGATAATATCCTTAAAAAATCTTAAACAACTATAATGTTATAAAATTATTTTCACCTAAAATTGTAATATTTATTCAAATTCTTTTAACTTACAACTAGTGAATTCTACAAAAATAAATAAATTTTAGTTTCTGAAAGAAATTTTTATTTTTTTAGATTTAAAACTGAATGATTGAGAGTTAAGATATTATTTTAGAACTTAATAAATATTTTTTATAAACCTGCGATCACAATTAGTCAAACTACTGTATACTACTGTATTTAAGAATTATTTACTAATATAATTTTTTATTCTTAAATTATCAACTTATAATTTCATAGAAACAAATTTTACGAAACGGGTTTCCCTATTAGTTTGTTATATTTGAATTTTTACTACAGAAAATATTGCAATAATTTTCTATAAAGGTTAAGAATATTACTGTCCTTACATTTTCATTGATTTACTACTTGTTAGAATATTTTTACCAAGTATAGTNATAATTTTCTATAAAGGTTAAGAATATTACTGTCCTTACATTTTCATTGATTTACTACTTGTTAGAATATTTTTACCAAGTATAGTATAAATTAATCAGTCATTTGTTAATCACTTATTGACGTATTTTGAACTTTCATTGTTGCATAAAAAACTACTATTTTTCTTTATTCTTAGAAAATATAAATATTTTTATAATTATTAATTAAAAATAATGTGTAATTAGTTTTCTCTATCAGACTATTTTTACTTCATTTTTCGTTGATTTTTATTTTTTTATATAGTGTATTTATCTAAATAAACTATTTTATATGATGATGTTTTTATCATATTTTTTTACATGATTGTAAATAATGTAGTCTAATTTATATATTTGTTTTTCAGAACATTCAATCCAAACAAGAATACACAAAGAAAAACGCACCTCTTCTGAATTATTATTTTCTTAATGTTGTTTATTTCATGAGTTTACTACGAAATTCGATTGTTGATTGTCTCGACTATGACGTCAGAATGGGACGTATATTTGATGTTTTAGTACAGACAAAAAGAAAAGAAAATTATATTTCCTAAAGTTTAATAAGATAAATAAATAATTTTGTGGAGAACAAAGAAGTTAAAATGGAGTTAATTAATCTACAGAAGAGTTCATATATAGAGTAAAAACAATTAGCAATATAATTATCTAGTATTATCTATTATCTTAGGTTGCATAAAAAAAAAGAGGTGTGTTTTGGCTTGTGTATGGAAAGGATGTACTTGGCGAGAGCAACAGCTATGACATTTTTGGTGGCCACGTTTGCTGTGAGCCCACTTCAATCTTCAGAAGGTAAATTAAGATTATTTTAAAATCGATTTGTAGTATAATTATGTAAAATATAAGTTCAAAATGATCTTCATGATTTACCAAGTGAAGCTTTAGTTGGTAGTAGTTTTAGTGTGTCTGAAATTAAATATCCTATTTAATTACATTGTTTTTAAAATTATCCATCTTCAAAATTTATTTGTCGACATTAATCTGGATTTGGAAATGACTTTAAGGAGTAAGACTGACTGTGAAATAAAATGTTAAATCCTATTGTAATTAAAGTTGAATTATCATAAGCTAATATATCACTGTTTAAATGCATTATGTCTTCAATGCCTTAGAAAACTTTACTTTAATTTTGGTGCCTCATTACCAAGTTATAACAAAAGCTAGGTCACCAAAAAAGTGGTTTTCTTCGAAAAGTAAAACTTTTTAAGAACTTTTCTTAAGGTGAAATTTTTATTTTATTACCATTTGTATATTTTTAAATTATATTAAAATAATTTGGTTTTAAGTTAATTTTTTTTTTTTCAAGTAAAACATTTGTATTGTTTTTCTCGGATTTACACATTTTAATAAAAAGTGATTTTTCATGTGACAGTCAATGAATCGTTTTTAATAATATGAATAATAATATGACAGTCTGAAGTAGTCGAACGAATTATGCATAAAATTATAATATCAAGGATATGTACTCCAAGGTACACTGTTTTTACAATATTACACTACCTTTTTATTACTGTAAATTAAGGTTCGAGATGTATAATTTTGTACACGTGCATATTATTAAGGATCTTTTAGGTAGACAAAACATTTTACATTTTAAATTAATATATAGCAGAAAGGGTTGTTTTAATCATCTTGTTGTACTAGTAAGTGGGTTCTTCAGATCAATTTTTGTCAATGTTATTAGTCAGGGTTCCTAATTTATACTTTTCTTTTCTCAGAATTTTCGTTGAAATAATTATATATTATTTTAATGGAGACCGCGAGTTAAATTAATAAGGATTAGTTAATACTTTTCTATTTTATGTAAATAAAAAAAAAATTATTATTAAACACTTCTTCAACCTCAAAGAAAATTGGAATAATCTACACAATGAAGTACTGTTTACTTTATTTTGAAATTCATAAAATGGTTTCTGACGATCGTTTTCTTTGTTAAAACATATGACATTTAGGTGTAAATTATTGAATGGTAAATTTGATTGTGTTGGTATTTAGTTCCGTTTAATTTACTAACCCAACAGCTTCGCTTCTGTGGTACACTTAATGTTTCAATACAAAAAAAATCGTATAGTCTATGCGCGCCTTGTGATAAAATACTGTTAAACTGCAATTTAAAAATTTGATATAGTCATGGAAAATTTAGTCAAGTTGATTCTTGGATTGCTATCATAATTTAATTTTTACTGTTTGTCCTTCAGGCGTCTATTTGTTTAAACGGTGAATATAAAAATGTTGTTTACATGTCCATAACAATTAAAAAAAAAAAATTCAGATATATTAATGGTACCACGCAGTTGTTTCTTTTGACAAAACATATTATGGGTTGGCATTATCCTAAATGTCTATTCTTGTCACTCACTCGGCCAATGAAACATGCATTCGGTCTACGGCGAGGTCCAATTTGACTAACCTACTTTACCCTCGTACGACTTATCCTACCCATATGGGCGTGACTGCACAAGGCTGTGACGGGTACTATTTAATTTACATAAACACATTGTCTACTTATTCCATCAGCCCTGTTTCGGCCCTCCAAACAGTCGCAACTAGATAAGTAGCCACCGCATGTGGACCATCATGACAAGATACTTTCGGTTCGCCCGATATCCTTAGCGGTATTGTATTCACGTGCAAATGTACGGGATCGGGCACTGCTGCCAGGCGGATTTACTAGCGAATTTATTGCCGATAAGTTTGGCCTGGACTGGCAACGTTCTTGGCACAAAACAAGATTCGGCTGCCAACAAAAGTACAAAAGTTTCATTAAAGATAAAGAACCACCCTCTCAAACTTTACACTTCATAGTAATTACCGCCCGGCTGAAATTCATATATAAATATATATTAATACAACTGTTGAAATAATAAATGAACCTGAGAAATTTGTGGTAATGATGTTTACTGCGATAGTTTTTGCACGTAGCCACTCGTTGAACTTAGAAACGGACATTGGGTATAATATACAGTTTTATTGGTTCATGGCAAACACTTAATGTGATTACACCGTGATTGCTCTATTGACATGTATAGTGTTGCTATTAGTTTAGATGATTCACAAATTATACTTCAATATTTTCAAAATTAAATTTCATCTTTAGCGTAATGAAATAAAATCTGATAAACTAAACGATAATACAGTTTCACAGAAATAAACAAAATTCGACCTAATTAAAATATTGACAGTGCCGTTATTTATAATTGTTTCGAATCAAACGAACAATATCTTAGCAAGATCAACCAAATATTAAAACACACAAAAAATCGTATTTGTTTTAATTTAAATTACTAATCAAATTCAAATACTTGATATGAAAACCATCTAGGAGTGGTGAAAAATATTCTTTTGGAAAGCGTGAAAAACAATAGAAGTTTAAACTCGAAGAGAATCTTTTTATTTTTTAAATGTCTTTAAAGCTATTGTCCATTCAAGGTATCCCAATTAATTATTTTTACACCTACGCGGTGACGTCGAGAAAAGTATTTCACTGGCAAAATGATCGGGTACGTGTTATCCAACGTCACACAATAATTTTAGTTAACTAAATTCTTAAGTCACGTAAATTATTTCTCCAGGGGAGTTTCTGAATGACAGAGCAACTGAGTTCAACTGTCAAAATTACAATAAATATATACATATATTTATGTATTACGTTCACATCAAAACTTTCTTAAGATTTCTGTAGTATGAATAATTTATGAAGCATAACACCGACGTCTATACAATGTATATTGTACTATATCGGTGTAATATTTCCTACTAAAAGTATATAATATGATTGTACGTTTTGTGTACAATATAAGCCATCTCTGGTGATATTCCATTATGAGCTTTTAACTACCATTAAAAAGACCGAGTTAAAAATAATTTTATGCACAAACGATTCAAACAAAAACTAAGACTGAGCATTTTCTGCATTTTACTCGGTTAATATTAATTTTACACGCAATTCACACGAGACCAGAGCGATTTGTCACCTTCACTTTGCGTAAACGTCAGAATTGATAGCTTAATTTTACATGATCCTAGACGTCCGGTAGGTTTGAATGTTATAATTTTCAAGCATAATCATGCGGTGCAAGTACATAAAGCCATCTATTAAAAAAAAAATAAAATAAAATATGAAAAGTAGCTAATGGGTGATTACAGAAATTAAATATTATGATACTACACTGCGATATACANGAATGTTATAATTTTCAAGCATAATCATGCGGTGCAAGTACATAAAGCCATCTATTAAAAAAAAATAAAATAAAATATGAAAAGTAGCTAATGGGTGATTACAGAAATTAAATATTATGATACTACACTGCGATATACAAAATTGGCTAGAGTATTGTTTTTATAAAACTGGTAAATGGTTTTTTTTTTATAAATTTACTGTATATTTACCCTATTAGCATTGTCCAAAAAAACTATTAAAATTGTCATAAACATTTTTTTAATTATGTACTTTTAAATAGAAGTTTAAATAATATAAAAGCTAAAAAACGAAATTTAAAAAACTACATGACAGTTCCGTTCGCTGTTATTGGAATTGGAAATACCAAGTAAGCAATTTTCGAAGTATACTAAATTATAAAATTCAAATAAAAAAAAATAATCGCAACATATAATTCACATTCAACTGAAATAGAAAATTTTAATTGTTTTCTACACATTTAATGAACGGATTGAAATTTTTGTGTACAGTTTTCGTTTTACAGCAGTCCTTTCCTTTGACAAAGTCTGCTTTTATTAATTTTACTGTATAAGTCGCAACTATAAATATAGAAACTTACAGGCGTACTAATGGATTATATGTTGTAGAACAAGTAACTAAAAAGTCAAAAATAATTTTGAGTTTAGTCTCCGTTGAAAGTTCTCAAATGTTATTGAAAAGTTTTACAAGAGACAAATTTGTGTATTTTTAAACATGGCAACGCAACATTTATCAGCGAGAGGAAAAAAGAAACGCTTTTACTTTTTTACTGAATTATAAACAAAAAAATGTCAACATATTTTGAGGTTATCATTGTAATAACTTTTGTTTTTAATCCTCATAAGGAACGGCGTACACTATTGGCCGCAAAATATGTGCAAACTAGCAATAAGACGTTTTTCATGTTTCCGTATTAGTAGTTATAAATCCTAATATGGCGAATGAGTGAAAAATAATAATAAATAATGCTTTTCGCCTTCTTACAATTATTTCCCTGGGGGCTTTGTGACGTTTATTATTTTTGTATAGTTTTAACTCGGTGCTATGATAGAAGTTGTGAAGGCAATAAATTAAAACATCAGTGGCGTTATATTGACTCGAAACAATTGGAAAACTAATATAACATGTAAAAATTTATAATGTATCGCGCAAATATTGGGCCGTGATTTCTTTATTCCAAGTCAAAAGACATTGTTTGAAAGAATAACGAATTATTTGGATTGCATTTTAATTTATTATTGCACACAATTCACGGAGCGACTGGCGAGGAAAAAAATCAACGGCGATTTGTGATTTTTTTTTCGTTGTGCGATACTCGTAACCCGACCGTACACGAAATGTAATAGAATGAACATTCGACGGGGTATTAAAATACAGCATTTTTAATTTATATACACGAGTCAATGGCGTTTTCATCGTTTCCGAGAGATAAACCAATTAAACCGATAAAAATTGAAATAGTTGGCACACGATCGTAACGTTGCCACTAACTGAGCTGCTTGCCGTGGCCCGCTGGTGTAGAGCTCCGCATTATAAATCAGCCCGTCAGTGTAATCCGACAACGGGAAAACCCAAACTTTCGGCATCGGTG